CATTAAACCCCATTGTCTGAAGTATATAAATTTAAGTAAGTACTTTTTTAAAACCAGGAGCCCTCTTTCTCTAACCTAAGGATGCTTGGGGGATTTTTTAGAGATTACGTGAAAAAAATTGTCATCTGAATGAACATATATAAACTATGGTAACTGTATCTTTAGGTCAAGTCCCTTTACTTCACTAAATTTGGACATTAGAGCTTTAAAATAGTAGCATATGACCTTTCTGCTGTGACCTAACTTACATTCTTACATTGTTTACTGTTTCTAGAAAAACAAAAATTGGGAGGGAGAAAATGTCATTCAGTTTCAAGAAATGTGGCATTTAATTATTATACCATTTTCTCTAATAATTTGAGATGTCAGGGAAAATAGATGAATTGGGCCCAACCTGTTTGTAAATAAAATGGGCAGCATATCTATTGTTTAAATCCGGTTACTTTTAAGCTCCTTAAGAGCCTTATGACAAAACCAGTGCTAGATAGGACAATGGCAGACTGGTTTTTGTCTATTTCTCTGAACAAATGTGGAAAGAATAGAAACAATGTAATTTTTTTTTTTTGGTAGTTCTCCTTTTAGCTTGTGAAAACACCAAACCGTGAAAGAAAAAAATGTTTCCTTTAGTTCAGTTCTGCCACAAATATGGAGAAAACCTTTTATCTTAAAGAGCAAGATTTTCTGTAAGGTCATTTGGATTCCTTTGTTTAATCTTCCACTTACCATACTGTATGCACTATTAAATATTGACATCAGAATTCCTCCTGATTGCTTTTCATCTTTCTTTTTTTCTTTCCTTCTTTCCCTCTCTTTTTCTTTGTTCCTTTCTTATTTATTAAAGAAAACTAACAGTGTAGTTCTGCTTACTGATATTCTGATATTACACAAAGTAATTTATTTCCCTTCTACAGAATTTATGTATGACAACCTAAAGCTATTCAGATAGCTAAAGAAAGGTTTGAAGCCTTATTCTAGCTGGTAATTCCCTTCTTTATTGTCTGGCCCTGAACTAGAAAAGCTATGATAGGAGGGGTGTGGTCCCTTAGTAAACAGCAATGAGCTCTGGCCCATGTGCAATTTCCCTTTCTATCTAAAGTCAAAGAACAGGAGATCTTTGCTTTAAACCTTGCAATGCCAAGGTCTGCTCCTTTGTGACTATGGTAAATTTATCGCACTCATATTTTAGTTATAGGAAGTGGATCAGGCCCTTTGGAAGATGTTGGCATTAGATGCTGGTAAAAGATTAGGCCTTTAATTTGATGGTAGTCGATGATTCTTGTCTGTCTCCTAGTATTAACAATAGGATTGACAATTATAGCAGTTTGAGATCTATAACTCACTACTGTGAGGACTAGAAAGTGCCAAGAAAAATGCTATCAACACAAAAGGTCTAAACACTGCCCTTAGCCTAAAAGTCTCATATTGTGCAACACTAGACCTGGAAGCAGTTCTCTTTTCTGATACTGGAAAGCCTTTGTCCTAATTCTGAGTGAAAAGTGACTTAATTTAAAATACATTAACATTTCCACATGATTTTAGTACCTGAGTGTCTAGAGAGTAACACTGATTCTACCAAATCAGGTATTACTTATTTCATGGGCTACACTATCATCGTAGGAGTGACTGTTTTATGTACTTGATACTTCACAAGAATTCATTAAGTTGTTGGCTTAGTGGTACTTGCTAAGTGCTCTTTCGGCGACTGTTATCTGCAAGGACATTTTTCTGAGATGTAAAATAGTAAATTATTACAAATAAAGAGGAAACAAATATCTTCCAACTTTTAGGTGAGTACATTATTTATAGAAAAAGAGGTTTCTTATGATTATTCATGTCAACATTGATTCATGTGAGATTCAGATTCATGTATTTTCCTGTGGCATTCTTTGGCTTTAAAGTTGCTTTTCGAATATATGTTACATACAGTCGTGTTTCTAAGAGAGCCACTGAAGGCCCATTTTCGTTTGTTTTTATTGTTCATATTCATTCATTAAACAAAAACTTTTGATCTCTGCAGTATTCCCAGCATTATGGTAGGCAATGGGTTTATAGAAATGAGAGATACATTCCCAACATGAGTGGGAATCCAGTTCAGTTTAATTGGATCTTTTTCCTGATTTCCCAGGAAACCTTGGACTAATTACTTCTCTAAGTTTCCATTTCCTTGTATGTAAAATAGGATCGGATCAGATGGTTAGTTTATAAAGTTTGTAAGATTGTTTGGTTTTAAGTAAATAAATATGATCACCTTCCTTGCCATGTTAAACTTGAAGCTCTTTTCTTTAATTCTGCCTGTTGTAGTTTGAATTTCAAAATATCTTACTGTAGATGTTATTGTTGTTTTACACTGAAGAAGTAAGAAGCCAAATTTTATAAAGGTGGTTGTATCATTAAGTAAATGGTAAATTTATTTATTAGTTAGAATCGTTGTCAATATCTATTAATGCGGTTACTTTGCCCATGGTGTGACATAGTTCATGTTGCCTCAGGTGAAGGCTTCCTGTTATACCCCCAACAACAAATATTTCAAATAATTTTTCCAGAAGTCGTTATCCTTGCTGCTTTTTTCCCTCTCCTTCTATCCAGTCCACCAGCAAGTCCTGTTAGGTATACTTTCAAAACATATCCATATCTATCCATTTATTTCCCCCTCCCTTACTAAGCACCAGAACCCAAGCTACTATAGTCTTTCACCTGCACTACCGCAGCAGCCTCCCACCTGGTCTCTCTGCTTCTATTGGTGCTCCCCAATAATTCATTCACCACAGCGTGATCTTTTCAAAACTTATGTGTGATTACCTGTTAAAGAACTGCGGTCTATTCTCATTTCAGTTAAAACAAAATCCAGTTCATTAACCCCGTTGTCTGAAGCTGGATGTGACCTGGTGCCTGCCTGCCTCTCCACCTCATTGAGTGTCCCTATCCCCTTTGCCCACTATGTTCTAGCCCTGGGCTATCCAGTAAGCTAGCCACTAGTCTCAGGAGCTGTTGAACCCTTGAAATGTGGCTAGTCCAAATTGAGATGGGCTGTGAGTATAAAATATGCCTTGAATTTCAGACTTAGGAAAAATCATGTAAAGTGTCTCAATAATTTTATATTGTTTACATGTTTATGATAACATTTGGATATTTTGGGTAAAAATATTTTGTTAAAATTAAGTTTCCCTATTTATTTTGTACTTTGTTCATTGAAGCTACTAGAAAATTAAAAATTACATACAGGACTCACATTATATTTCTGTTAGAGAGTGCTATTCTAGCCACAGAGGCCTTTCGCTTTTCCAGGCTCATATTCCATTAGCTGTTCTTTCTGCCTGGATTGTTCTGCCTATCTTTGCAGGACTGATTCTTTTTCTTTCAGATCTCTACTTAATGCTGCCTCATAAAGACCTTTCTCTGATCAAGCAATTTAGAGTAATTTAACCACCCACTCTATATTATGCTTTCCTATTTTGCCACGTAGGGCTTGTCCATAATATTTTTTGCATTTTCTTGTTTGTTTATCATGTACTCCCCCCTCCAACCCCTGCAAAATATAAGTTTCAAGAGCACAGGGACTTTGTCTTGCATGATATATCTTCAGGACAGTGCCTAGCACATAGTTAGCGTGCAACAGATACATGTTATGTCAGCATTGTATTCCTCACAGTGCCTCACATGGTACTTTGCTTATTAATAGCATTTAGTAGGTGTTAGAAAAGTTGATAAATAGCACTGGAGGAATAGAAAAGATTTTTCTTTTGAAATCTTTATGTTTCCAGTCAGTTGCTAGCAGGAAGGGATTTAAGGTAAGCTGTAACTCCACTGCCTTGAAGGTGGTAATCAAGTCTGAAGATGTGAGCGAAAGAAAGAATGGATAGCAGTTGTCTTTTTTCCCTTAATGAATTTATATTCCTAATTGGAATGGAAGCAGGTATGGAGGCGGGAAGATCAAATGTAATTGCCGCAGTAAATTTGTAAAGTTTTATTTTAACATCCTTAGCTTGTAATGATTACTAAGAATGGTTCAATAAGTTTATCTTATTGTCCCATATACAAATTGTCCCATATGTAAATCATACTTTTTTCCTCCTGAATCTTTTAAGTGAATTGATATTCCTATAAAATATGTCTCCTTCCCAGTTCACTATGGATTATTTATCTGGGCTTATGCTATAAATCTGCCTTTAAGTAGGCACATCTATTTTAAATTTAGTTTATTCTCTTTTTATTTTGAAATAATTTCAAATGTACAGAGACGTTGTAAGAGAAATACCAAGAACTCCCATATATCCCTTACCCAGATTTACCAGTTGCGAGTATTTTGTCACATTTGCTTTATAAACTCTCCCACTCTCTGTATTTGCACAGTATTTTTTTAAAATTCTTGAACCATTTGAGAATTAGTTGTAGATAGTATACTCCTTTACCCTAAATACTTCAGCATTATTTCCTAAGGACAAGGACATCTCTTATATAACTACAGTACAATTATCAAATTTAGAAAATTAGACATTGATAAAATACTGTTATCTAATATATAGTCCATATCAAAATCTGCCAATTTTTTCCAATCATGTGAAACAAGCATGTTGTAAGAAAGGTAGCTGAAATGTAACTTCTCTCAGGAGTGGTATAAGTTTGATGAGTATGCCTTTTCAACTCCTTGATTAAAAATAGTATAAAGCAAATATTTGGTCATTGTGATCATCTCCTTTATGACATCCTCCCCTTCTCATTGAACTCTGAATTACTTGCTTTCAGTGAATAAACATGTAGTGTTTGTGTGAATTGGTAGGGAAAAGTTGAAAGGGAAGCTGGGAAGCATAGTACAAATGGGGGTGAATCAGTGTTCTTAATAAGGAACAGGCCTGTCTTTAGGAATTCATACTGATAATTTATGTAACAAATCTGATTCTCTAAATCTCTGGCAAAAGATGCAACAGATATTTTTGAAGATAGAAATAAAATTTTGTTGGCCGTGTTTAACTCACCTTACTTGTTTTGCTGTTTCTTCCTAGCCCGTGACTGAAGAGTTACTCAAACAACAAAAGCTGAATTCACATGAGACCACTATAACTCAGCAGTCTGTATCTGATTCCCACTTGGCAGAACTCCAGGAAAAAATCCAGCAAACAGAGGCCACCAATAAGGTATGATTAGTACTATCCCCTAGGAGATGACAGGGTTTTCCTGAGGATGTGACTGGCTCTAGCCTGAGTCTGTCAACCTGTGTAGGACTTGGGAGATGGATACTGTGTACTCCTTGTGCTCTAGGGAATATTTCATGTAAAAGTGTAGTTCTTCCCTTTATTCTTATCAAGATTTTAGCTTGTTCTGTACAGATCATAATTTCTGGTGCTTTTCAGGTGTGTAATTAAAACTTGCATGCAGGCCAGTACAGTGACTCACGCCTGTAATACCAGTGCTTTGGGAGGCCAAAGCAGGCGGATCACAAGATTGGGAGTTCGAGACCCGCCTGGCCAACATGGTGAAACCCTGTCTTTACTAAAAAATACAAAAAATTAGCCAGGCGTTGTGGCAGACGCCTGTAATCCCAGCTACTTGGGAGGCTGAAGCAGGAGAATCGCTTGAACCCAGGAGGTGGAGGTTGCAGTGAGCCACGACCACGCCACTGCACTCGGGCCTGGGCAACAGAGAGAGACTCTGTCTCAAAAAAAAAAAAACTTACATGCAATCTTTCACTGTAAAAGGCACTGAGATAGGAGGTCTGTGTTTTTTATTTTAGCTTAACTTGTTACTACTTTCTAGCCCATGAATTTTAATGTCTGGCTTAGAAGAAAATTGCTACAATTTGGGATGCTGAACTTGTGGCCTCCGTGCCCCTATAGTGCCCTCTCCTATGCTAGGTAGCAGAAGTTCTTTGGTCCTTGTATAAGGGATCCATACTAGGAACCACTTGCCTACTTGGTCCATGTGGACAAGTTCCTAGTATGGCTGCCATCATAGAGAGATCACAGTGCATGAAGATTGAGACAATTTAGTACTGAAGGAAGTATTTCATTTCTCCTGCTACTATTCGTTGCTGGTTGACTTACCACTTTAATGGTTAGTATATGTGGGAAAAATAACAAGGTAATATCCCCTAAGAAATTCTTTAAATCCAAGATTTGAGGAAAGGCTTTATTCATTTGAGGCTAAAAGACATCATTGACCTAAAAAACTGTTTTTCTTTGCTGAATTCAGATTCTTCAAGAGAAACTTAATGAAATGAGCTATGAACTAAAGTGTGCTCAGGAGTCGTCTCAAAAGCAAGATGGTACAATTCAGAACCTCAAGGAAACTCTGAAGAGCAGGGAAAGTGAGGTAAAATACTTAGCTATCAAGGACCTGTGTGGAAACAATTGGTCCCTTCAAAGTAGACAAGTATTTTATATTTTGTCAAAATGCATATTGTCAGACTAACAGATCTTAGCCTGGAGAAATTGTAGCTTAACCTCGATTGATATTTTGGAATAGTCACATTACTAAAATCTGTACAGGTGAGATAATGGAATTTATAATTAGTTTACTAACATGTTTGATATTCCCTCTCTCATTTTCAGACTGAGGAGTTGTACCAGGTGATTGAAGGTCAAAATGACACAATGGCAAAGCTTCGAGAAATGCTGCACCAAAGCCAGCTTGGACAACTTCACGTATGTGAGGGTCACATAGGACAGGAGAGACTTCAGTTGGGGATGTGCCATTTTGGTTGCAGTCTTGATTTTATTTTCAGTCTTCGTGGGAGCTCAGTGCTTGCCCTGCTTGTGATTGTGATTTCTACTCTCTTTTCAGAGCTCAGAGGGTACTTCCCCAGCTCAGCAACAGGTGGCTCTGCTTGATCTTCAGAGTGCTTTATTCTGCAGCCAGCTGGAAATACAGAAGCTCCAGAGGGTGGTACGACAGAAAGAGCGCCAACTGGCTGATGCCAAACAATGTGTGCAATTTGTAGAGGCTGCAGCACACGAGAGTGAACAGCAGAAAGAGGCTTCTTGGAAACATAACCAGGTAAATCATTAACTATTTTATTGCCCTAAATGCTGACTTTGCCCTGATAATAACTTTTTAGCAGGATAGTTTGTGTTGAACCCTTGAGTCAGTTGCATAATCTAAGTATTTCAGTTCGACACTTGCTGCCCTTGTACCATATGCTAGTTAGAGTAGACCCCTTTATCCACAGTTTCACCTTCCATGGTTTCAGTTATCTGGGGTCAACCACAGACAAAAAGCATTAAGATATTTCAAGAGAGACCACATTCACGTAACTTTTTTTTTTGAGACAGAATCTCACTCTGTCTCCCAGGCTGGAGTGCAGTGGCGTGATCTCTGCTCACTGCAAGCTCCGCCTCCTGGGTTCATGCCATTCTCCCACTTCAGCCTCCCGAGTAGCTGGGACTACAGGCGCCTGCCACCACGCCCGGCTAATTTTGTTTTTGTATTTTTAGTAGAGACGGGTTTTCATCATGTTAGTCAGGATGGTCTCGATCTCCTGACCTCGTGATCTGCCTGCCTTGGCCTCCCTCACGTAACTTTTGTTACAGCATGTTGTTGTAATTCTTCTATTTTATTGTTATTCTTAATCTGTTAGTATGTCTAATTTGTAAGTAAACCTTTATCATAGTTATCTATGTACAGGAAAAAACAGTTATACACAGGCTTCAGTGCTATCTGGTTTCCGGCATCCCCTGGGCGTCCTAGAATGTATCCCCTGTGGGTTGAGGGGTGATTACCATATTGAGTTGTGCCCTGGAAATACAAGGATGAACAGCACAGGCTCCTTTCTTTTAAGTTACTTATAGTTCAGTAAGAGAGACAGTCGCATAAGCTGAGTTTCAGAGTGGTAAATTCTGAAGGGGATGTATATATGGAGTCCTACAGGAATATCTAGGAAAGGAGTCAAGGAAAAGGAATCAAGGAAAGCTTCATGAAGGAGGAGACATCTGAGATTATTCTTGAAGGATGGTTAAAACCAGTCAGAAAAGTGGGGAAGAATCACTAAGGTCAGAGGAATGACATGCATAATAATCAGCCCTGTCTTTTATTTTTTATTTTTGAATAATAAAATATACAATTCTTTTCTTTCTTTTTTTTTGTTTTTTGAGACAGAGTCTCACTCTGTCACCCAGGCTGGAGTGCAGTGGTACTATCTTGGCTCACTGCAAGCTCCACCTCCCGGGTTCACGCCATTCTCCTGCCTCCGCCTTCTGAGTAGCTGGGACTACAGGCACCTGCCACCACACCCAGCTAATTTTTTTTTGAATTTTTAGTGGAGATGGAATTTCACCATGTTAGCCAGGATGGTCGTGATCTCCTGACCTTGTGATCCACCTGCCTCGGCTTCCCAAAGTGTTGGGATTACAGGCGGGACCCACCATGCCCGGCCTTTTTTTTTTTTTTTTTTTTTTGAGACGGAGTTTCACTCTTGTTGCCCAAGCTGGAGTGCAATGGTACAATCTTGGCTCACCACAACCTCCACCTCCCGGGTTCAAGCGATTCTCCTGCCTCAGCCTCCCAGTAGCTGGGATTACAGGTATGCACCACCCTGCTTGGATAATTTTATATTTTTAATAGAGACAGGGTTTCTCCATGTTGGTCAGGCTGGTCTCAAACTCCCAACCTCAGGTGATCTGCCCACCTTGGCCTCCCAAAGTGCTGAGATTACAGGCATGAGCCACCACGCTGGGCCAAAATGCACAATTCTTAAATGGTTCCTTTATCTTGTTAGCTTAGAGCGTATATGTTTAAGATTTTAAAGATTTTTTTTTTTCGTGGTCTCTTTTCTTAAGCTCTTTAACACTCAGGTTTAAACGTGTAATTTTTGAAGGATCTCCCTGGTTTAGTGGTTTGGAGATTAAATATTATTAGCCCTGAATTTCCTTTTGAAATATTAAAATTTCGGCCGGGCACAGTGGCTCACACCTGTAATCCCAGTACTTTGGGAGGCCGAGGCCAGTGGATCATGAGGTCAGGAGTTCAAGACCAGCCTGACCAAGATGGTGAAACCCCATCTCTAGTAAAATTACAAAAATTAGCCAGGTGTGGTGGCGGGCATCTGTAATCCCAGCTACTCGGGAGACTGAGGCAGAGAAATGCTTGAATCTGGAAGCCGGAGGTTGCAGTGAGCCGAGATTGTACCACTGTACTTCAGCATGGGCGACAGAGTGAGACTCCATTTCAAAAAAAAAAATTAAAATTTCAGATATCTGGGCAGGGTCGGAGAGTGGTGGAGGATGGGGGTAGAAATAATTCTTAACTTTTTGTTATTTAGCTAAAGGAAACATTTTCCCAAGATTTGTTTGGTTGATGAGAATATGTATTTTGGGAGCTCTCTAAAGTAACAGATGATTTAAAGATTACTGACTTTCTTATCAGAAAGATAAATATGGCAAGCTAAGAAAGAAGAGTGATGGTCTCTATGAGATCTTTAGAAAAAAGGATGATAGGAATAGTTTATCCTTGAGCTTACTGTAAATAATCCAGGTTTGCCATAGGACAGATTCTCATTTAATGGTTCTACACATGTATCCTTTTTAAGCCAAAAAATAAGTATTGAACTATAATTATCAAGCTTACGTCCTACCCATTCACAACTTTTACAATTTTCCATATCCCATTCAATTCATGTATAATACTTCTATAGCAGTTTTAATAATGGCATCCTCTACTGCTCTTTCAGTTTATATACCTTGAAAATTTTAAGGTCTCTGTATATAACCATGTGACAATTTTAGATCTCTTAATATGTTTAATTCAGGAATTGCGGAAAGCCTTGCAGCAGCTACAAGAAGAATTGCAGAACAAGAGCCAACAGCTTCGTGCCCGGGAGGCTGAAAAATACAATGAGATTCGAACCCAGGAACAAAACATCCAGCACCTAAACCATAGTCTGAGTCACAAGGAGCAATTGCTTCAGGTGAGTTTACATGATTTCAATGAAAACTGGGCTCATAGAACTCTGAAATTTGTTTATATAAATTTAAGATATTATTCCACCTGTGTTGGGTCCCTGCTATAAGGAAAACATTGAGAGGTGGGAATCAAGAGGATTTAAAATAAATAGAAAGTATAATTTGTGAATTAAGATGCTTACTAACAAGTGTAAGAAACAGTACATATAGCCCTGATTTAAGCAGTCTTTTATGAAGTCTTTTATAAAGACTTAATATTCAGAAAATAGTTATTAAGCACCTCTGTGAGTCACACACTTTTCTGGGCGTTGGGAAGACAAAAGATTTGGCTACTGCTCTCAGTTTAATAGATGAAGACAAACTACAGAAACTTCCAGAGTCATTTTGATGATGGAATGAAAGTTTGAGGGGAAAATGGAGCATTAAGAAGAGACTGATCTGTTCTGCCACCTACTCTAAGCTTCAGTCACATTGAATCCACTACATTTCACTGAATGTACAATTTTTTCATTGTATGCGTAGCGTGCATATTTTTTTTCTCTAGCATACAGTCCTCTCCCTTCTTCACTTAGGAAATCCTAGTCCTTTAATTAAGACTCACCACAAATGTTACCTCCTCTGTGAGGTCTTTACTGACACCTGCAGGCAGAGTTAGGCAGTGCATCCTGTGTTCCCCTGGTAGCTAGCATAGGATGCAGAACAGTTAATTCTATGTGTTGTGTCTGTTGTATGTTGCAGAATAGTTTATAATTTATATGTCTGTTATCTGTGCTAAACTTGTTACTTTTGAGGAGAGTGATCACATCTTGTTTTTTTTTTATCCTGAATAACTAACAAATTACTTGGTAGTTTAGTTAATATTGGATAAAAGAATAAAAGAAACGATTTTTTGGTCTCAGGAATTTCGGGAGCTCCTACAATATCGAGATAACTCAGACAAAACCCTTGAAGCAAATGAAATGTTGCTTGAGAAACTTCGCCAGCGCATACATGATAAAGCTGTTGCTCTGGAGGTATGTATCACCATTTTGCCCACTATGCGATGGATTATTCTATCTACATAGGTATTATAGATATTTGTGTTTACTTACATTTGCTACTCTGGGATTTGGTTTTCTAGTCTGCCATCTTGTGGAATAAGAGTGATCAGGATAGTAAATCTTACAGAGCTTTAGGAGTCTTCCTTTCCTTGCAGCGGGCTATAGATGAAAAATTCTCTGCTCTAGAAGAGAAAGAAAAAGAACTGCGCCAGCTTCGTCTTGCTGTGAGAGAGCGAGATCATGACTTAGAGAGACTGAGAGGTGTCCTCTCCTCCAATGAAACTACTATGCAAGTGAGAGCAAAACCTATCTCTGACTTGGTGTTCCTCTCCCACTTATATTCTAAGCCTGAAGCATGACCCCCCTCCATCATTTTCTGAAAACCAGGGATTTTGTTTTATAAGGGGGAAGAAAACCAAAAATAGCAGTCACTAGTTCCATCATTGTCGATTAGGAAGTGAGAGATTTTAGCACTTCTACTTTTGTTTGTAATACGAATTTTGTGAGGAGAGCCAGTGAATATTGATTTCTGTTTACGTAGTTCTGATTTATTTCCAGTTCTTGTTCATACATAAATACATATGCACACACACTGCCCTCTCTCTCTGTCTTACTTTTACTGAAGCATTATCAGGGTGCAACTATTAAATTGTGTCTTCTACCTTAATATTATCTACATGTCCATGAATTGCCATAATTAGAACACTTGTTTATCAATATTTACTGTGGGCTTTTTTGCATATTTATTTTAGAGCTTAGGTATCTACCTGCCACTTTTTTGAGAAATCCTTTATAGTGTCGTGCACTTCCTCCAAAATGCTTCCTTTTATCATATATTCTATATTTAATCTCTCCACAAACTAGATAAAAGTTTCTGAAAACCCCCCAAAAAAAAAAAAAAACAGATTAGCTTGGCATTGTTTAGATCAATGCTCTCATCTTGCAAATAAAAATAAATTGATGGGAGATTATTTAAAAGTGGATGTAATTTGTTGTTTATCCTGAGGAGTATGGGGTAATCGTTTTGACTGATGATTGCTCTCTTTATGGCTGTAGAGTATGGAGAGTCTCCTGAGGGCCAAAGGCCTGGAAGTGGAACAGTTATCTACTACCTGTCAAAACCTCCGGTGGCTGAAAGAAGAAATTGAAACCAAATTTAGCCATTGGCAGAAGGAACAAGAGAGTATCATTCAGCAGTTACAGACATCTCTGCATGATAGGAACAAAGAAGTGGAGGCAAGACTTCAGTTAACTTAAAGGCAGTTGGTTCAGTGATTATGTAATCTCAGCCTTGGATTAGGACTCTTCAGATCGGGAGGCCTGTGACCCAAGTCTTTAATTTCATTCTGTGCCTGGGCAGGTCATTGACTTTCACTGGGATTTTTTTTTTTTTCCCATATCTAGAAACTTAAGTTGGCAATTAACTTTCTCAAAGAAGTTATGTGAGAATGAATGAGACCAAACATTGCCTCTTCCGTCTGGCAGCTATTAACCTTTATTAGTTACGGTGTTCATGCTGGGGCAGGTGCTGTTTTCAGATGTCAATGGATATTCACTCGTTGAATCCTCACAAGGCCATGAGGCACATTCTATGATCCCCGTTTTGTAGAGGAGGAAACAGACTTCTGAAGCTAAGTAACTTGTCCAAGCTAAGGTAGCTAATAAGTAGCAGATCTAGTATCAACCTAGGCAGTATGGCGCCTCCGTTTCCTCCACCATGTGCCGGCGGTTAGTACAGAAATAGAAACCATCACTATGATAGCAAATACAGTGTTTAGTATTCCTTTCAGCAATTCGTTTTATGCTTCCTCCTATAAAGTTACACTGGGGGAAAACAAATAAATGAACTGAGTGTCCATTTATCCTTATCTAACATTAATTGTTACATGTCCTGAACGAATAGGAAAAAGACTTATTTCAGAAAACAATATGTATGTAAGTGGCCACCAGAGATAGTTTTCTGTATTGTTTGTATTCATTCCTGGGACATGTATTTAGAGACTTCTGTGTTCCTGGCCTGTGCTAGATCTGGTAAAACAAAAATGAGTAAAACGTGATACTTACTCTCAAGAATCTCACACCTCCTTCTTCTATGATAGATTCTTATAAGCCCCTTTAATATTTAGTAGAGGCAGTTCTTTCCTCCAGAAACTTACAGTGTCCTTTCTGCATTAGGATCTTAGTGCAACATTGCTGTGCAAACTTGGACCAGGGCAGAGTGAGATAGCAGAGGAGCTGTGCCAGCGTCTACAGCGAAAGGAAAGGATGCTGCAGGACCTTCTAAGTGATCGAAACAAACTAGTGGTGGAACATGAAATGGAGATTCAAGGCCTGCTTCAGTCTATGAGCACCAGGGAGCAGGAAAGCCAAGTAAGGATTAATGCACAGATGAGAAAAGTATCATGTAGTGCATTTATAGTCTGCAAATAGGAAGCATTTGCAGACTATAGATGTGTGTATATTTATATATTTTACAGTCAACTCTGTTAGTTTCTTTCCTTCTGTTTATTACCTAGACCACAGTTTTATTTATTTACTTACTTATTTAGAGGTGGGAGTCTCGCTGTGTTGTACAGGCTGGTCTCGAACTCCTGGGCTCAAGCAATCATCCTGTCTTGGCTTCCCAAACTGCTGGCATTGTAGGTGTGAGCTGCTGTACCTGGCCTGAGACCACAGTTTTACATTAATCATCAAAGTATGAAAAATTTCTTAAAAACCTTGAATTTGGAAGGGTGCCTAAACAATACATGTATCCATTAACTTCATTACATACATTTTCTTTTCCTTAATAATCTGATCATTTTGAGAGAAAGGCGTAGGGGTTGTGAGTGTTTTGATTTTGATTCTAAATTATTAAGACTTGAGTGATATTTTGCATTTCCAGTCAAGGTATGGGAAAACTTACACTCAACATGTTTACTCTTAGTTTTTGTAAAATCTGAGTTATCTTAAGAGGGAAAAGAGATTGCGTTTTTCACAGGTCATGGTGAGAATAAACAATCTCATAATAGTATGGGGTGTATTAATTCCACAATATTAAAGAAGTAAATTCTTTTTTTTTTGTTTTTGATGGCATCTCCCTCTGTCACCCAGCTGGAGTGCAGTGGCGCGATCTCGGCTCACTGCAACCTCTGCCTCCTGGGTTCAAGCAATTCTCCTGCCTCAGCCTCCTAGGTAGCTGGGATTACAGGCATGTACCACCATGCCTGCTAAGTTTTGTATTTTTAGTAGAGAATGGGTTTCACCATGTTGGCCAGGCTGAAATGTTGGATCATTCCTGGCCTCAAGTGATCCACCCATCTCGGCCTCTCAAAGTGCTGGGATTACAGGCGTGAGCCACCATGCCCTGCCCATAAGTAAATTCTTAATTTTTCCTCATTTCTATGTGTTTTCTTCTCAAGGCTAAAGACTCTTAGTTGACTTATGCTGCATTTCAGATACCAGTAGCTCTGAATCCCCCTGGACAGTTTTTAGAGGAAGATAGACTTTTTTTGGCCTATGTTATTTGACCCCATAATATTTTCTTACATTTCCTCATATTGTGAAAGGATTATACACCACTGTTCTAATTGCTAGGCCTACTGAAGTAAACCCACATCTTACTAGAAAGGTCCTGCTGTGTGCTTCAGAAATTGTTTCTAAAATAGACCTAACAACATTATTCTAAATTATTTAAGTCTTTGGCAAGAGGCTAGGATCTTTGAGTTTTCTTTTTAACCTCTTTGTGATTTGGAAGAATTAGTCTTTATTATACCTCAGAAAAAAAAATTATGCACTGCTGGTAATAGAATAATGGAGATGATGGAAATTACAGGAGATTTTTCAACCCAAGAAGATTAATGGTTGTATTCTTCTACATCTGCTTCTCTAAATTTACATGCAAAAGAAATCACCTGAATAGCTTTTTAAAGATGTAGATTGTGGAGCTCAACTCCAGAGAAAGAAATTAGGACGTATAGATGGGACTTTAAGAATTTGCATTTCTAACAATTTTCCAGGTGATAGTGATGCTGCAGGTTCATGGACTGCACTGGAGGAGCACTGCTAAAAACTCTTAAATCCTACCAGAAAAAGAGCGCCAAGGCAGATAGAGCACAGTATATGTCTTGTATGTTATTTATTACGTTTTTTTCCCACAGTTTTCACAGATATTTTTATTAAGGTACTTTAATAATATACTGATACTTCTAAAATGGTTATATTCAAATCTCCAAAGAGCCCACATTTTACTTACTGAAAAATTGAAGGTTTTTTTTTTTCATATTTCCCTTAGAAATTGTGACAAGAGGTCAGCTTCTCCCTTAAAACAGTAGTACTTTTCCTCAGAGACAGTTGGTGTTACGATTCATCATCTTATACCCTCAGTAATTTTAATATCAATTTATGATTTCCAGATTTTCTGTTTAAATGTAGACTTTCTGTGCATTAATAGTTAAAACTGTTCTAGCTCTTTCCCTTATTGTGTCATCATCTGTCTTAGAAAACTGAGATTTGAAATGAAACAAGCTGAATTTGGTGATTTTGAGGTTGAGATTCTCCTAATCATGTGGTCTGATAAAAATGTTTATGTGTGTAATTGATTCATTCAGTAAATATGTAGTGAGTGTCTATTATGTCCCAGACACTGTACTGGGTGCTTGAGATTCAGCACCAAGTTGCCTTTAGGAAACTTCACATTCCATGTAGGGGAAGCAGAGAGAGAGAGAGAGATTAGATAATGGTAAGTGCATTGAAAAAAAAAATAGGCACAGTAAGGAGTGTTGGAGATAGAGAAGAGATTGCTGGGTTTAAAAAAAAAAATTCCCAGCTTTATTGAGGTATAATTGACAAATATTGTATATATTCAAGGTGTACAACATGTGTTGATATACATAGACATTGTGAAATGATTGCCACAATCAATCAAATTAACACAGCCGTCACTACACATTTTATGCGTGTATGGTGAAGACACTTAAGATCTACTCTCTTAGCAAATTTCAAGGAAATAATACAGTATTATTAACTAAAGTCACCATGCTATACATTGGATCCCCAAAACATATTCATCTTATACCTGAAAGCTTGTACCCTTTGGCCAGCAAGATTGCTGTTTTGGATAGGATATGCAGGGAAGACCAACCTGATAAGGTGACATTTGGCCAAGACCTGAAGGGAGCAAACCACACAAATGTTTGATTGAAGAGCAATCTTCCCCTAAGAAGCAGCTGATCCAAGAATAAAGACATTTGTTATACTAATTCAAACCAGAATCTTAACACCTTAGCCTGATAGTTCTAGCAGAACCTATTTCAGATTCTCTTATCTGTTACAGATGTGTTAAATTCAGTTTTTTCCCCAATATTCTGCCTATGAGACTTTATTTCCATTCACTTAACTATGTTTTTCCCTGTAAACTGAAAGCAGGGGAACTATTTCCTAAGGACCCACTGTTTTCTGTTGTTGTTTGTTTGTTTTTTACAAATGGTTGACTTTGAAGAAATAATACCAGAACAAAAAATTTGTTTTACTAGAATATCTTTCTAATGTTATTTGTGATTTCCTCTTACTAGGCTGCTGCGGAGAAGATGGTGCAAGCCTTAATGGAAAGAAATTCGGAATTACAGGCCCTGCGCCAATATTTAGGAGGGAGAGACTCCCTGACATCCCAAGCACCCATCTCTAACCAACAAGCTGAAGTTACCGCCACTGGCCCCCCTCTTGGAGAACAGACTGATCAAGTAAGAACTATAGACTTAGATAATTCATGCCGATTCCATTTCCTTTTTACATTTGAGGTGTATGTTTGATAATTTTAATACCAAATTCTGAGAATATTCTCAGTATTGTCATTGTGATCATAGTTCCTGCATCTTCCTAAGTCCCCCGACTTTTGCAATTTTTTAGGGTTCAATGCAGATACCTTCCAGAGATGGTAGCACTTCATTGACTGCCAAAGAGGATGCCAGCATACCCAGATCCACATTAGGTAAGTATCAAATTTCATTTCATTAAGGGACTCTGTTTTTGTCTTGTTTTTCCTTCTAGTAATCTCTGTATTAATAGGTTTGGCCAAGACTCTTTTCTCTTCCTACCTTAATGGAACAAATAAGTTTGGAATTCCTCTGAAAGGCTGAAGAACTGTCCTTACCTTATGTTGAGTCGAGGTTATTGCTCTAGGTTCACAATTTGGCCCAGAGAAACTCTATCCTTATTCTCCTTTTCAGATAGCTTTGCAGGGATTCAGAAATGCAGGAGGTAGTGGTTCCAATCCTGCCCAGCAGGGCCATGAGCTGACACCTTTTCCTGGGTATCTTTCAAGTCTGGGGCCACTCAGTGTAAGTTGACATCACCTACATTAAACCGTTAGGAAGGGTAGGCAGTGTACATTGAGTTATTTGCCAAGCCTAGCCCCATTCAGGGGATGGTTTAGAAAAGTCTTACAAGTAGTCATTCTCTAGTAGGAAAACTTTATACTAATCAAAGAATAAAAGAATGTTGGATTTGTGAATATACTGTTGTTTATTCAGCCTTTTCTTTATAGCATCTAGGGATGATTGCAGTATTTTACTATTACAAATAATGCTACAAAGACCAACCTGTGTGTATGTTTTCTTTTTTCTTATTATTGGAATGTGTCCTCTGTAAATTACTCAAAGGAGGCAGTAGATACCACATTATGTTAATAGCAATTAAAACTAGCGCTATATTTTTATTTCAGGAGACTTGGACACAGTTGCAGGGCTGGAAAAAGAACTGAGTAATGCCAAAGAGGAACTTGAACTCATGGCTAAAAAAGAAAGAGAAAGTCAGGTGAGTTTTCTAGTTAAGTCTTAATTTCAAAATCCCTGTTATTTTTTCTTTCAAAATAGTTTATATTTAAAAGCATATAATTCTCCAAGTATAATATCTGAGTCCAAATGCCGGGTGTGACTTTTTTCTTTTTGGAGAAAAATATAAGTTATTTTATATATACATTATCTCAAAAAGATGCTCCTATTTTTAGATTGGGACCATTAAAACTTATTAAGTGCTGGAAAAACATAACCCTTTCTCCCCATTGCTAACTGGAATAAAATAATTGTAAAGGCTGGGAATGGTGGCTCACGCCTGTAATCCCAGCACTTTGGGAGGCCGAGGTGGGCAGATCACTTGAGGTCAGGAGTTCGAGACCAGCCTGGCCAATATGATGAAACCCTGTCTTTACTAAAAATACAAAAATTAGCCAGGTGTAGTGGCGGGCACCTGTAATCCCAGCTACTTGGGAGCCTGAGGCAGGAGAATCACGTGAACCCGAGAGGCAGAGGTTGCAGTGAGTTGAGATTGTGCCATCACACTCCAGCCTGGGCAACAAAAGCAAAACTCCACCTCCAAGATACGACTACTACCACTAATAATAATAATAATTGTAAAGCACTAGTGAAAAAAGGAAATGTTGTGTGATTGCTGCTTAGAGTTATGACATTAGACCCATGAAATTAGTTTTAGAAACATGAAACAAGAAATTTGAGTATAATCAAAGTTTATCAAGTATTCATGTGCAATGTACTGTGCTAGGTATTTAAATTAGCACTAATGCTCACAGCTCTACACAAAGTAAGTGGTGTCGACCCAATTATTATAGACGAAGAAGCTGAAACACTGATTTCTCTTTTAAAATGGGAGTGGAGAATAATCATGTAATTAATAAATGCCAGAGCTATGATTCAAACTCAAGCCTTTAGTGACTTCACATACTTCCTAAGAAGATTCATTTCCTAGAGCACATTTTTCCCACCTTGTGCTTTAACTCTCTCTAGCATAGAGTTCTCATCAGTTTTTTTAGAAGAGGCCTTTCAGCCTTAGAGATTCCCTTCCCCCTGCATTTCCTCCACAGCTAGCTGCATACTCAACTATGATGTTGAAGAAATGCTAGGACCACAGCACAGAGTTACAGACTGAAACTGAAAGCTTGTTTGTTACTGTGTTGGCATCTCTTTTAGAAGATCAGTCAGTGTCATGGCTTCCTGAATTCAGTTGAGCTAGCTAGTCCAAATAGCTCCTTAGTTTTTTTCTACCTTTTGCCATAGCTAGATCTCTAATATAAAACCTGTGTTTGTATTTGTGATGGAATTATCGTATTTTATCTTTTGATTTCATTACCATATTTCTGCTTACAAACAGACTCATGTTCTATGACTCAGTTAGTTTTCAGGATATGAGAATGTATGGCGTTTAAGAAACACCAGTTTTAAAAATCCTCTAGTCTCCCTTCCTCTTTGTGGTTCTACCTTAGCCGTTTTCTGATTATTCATGTTAGATATTTTAGTTTCCACATCCTCTTCCTGTTTTTCTCACATTTATCAAATCCAAAGTAATGTTACTTTTTGGTTCTGTCCTGTTTTCAGGATCATGAAATTGTAATGCCTATGAATGGGTATTTTGAGTGGGTGATATTTAACTATTGCTAAATTCCTTTAAAGGATTTATTTAAAATAACTTGTCCTTACCATAAAGACTGTATGGATATGTGGTATCTACAGGAAAGACATTATTACCTAGTGGCTGTGAGTCAGCTTCCCTGAGTTCACGTTCTGGATTTACCACTTACTAGCCAGCCCTGTGATTTTTGAACAAGCTCCTTAATTTCTCTCAGACTCAGTCACCTTGTCTGTAAATTGAAGAGTAGAAGTAGTCACCTTGTGTATACATCAAAGAGTAGTTATCTCATAGGATTGTTGTGAGGATTCACTCATTCATTCATTAGCTATATGGGGACCTTCTCTAAGCTTGGGCTAGTGCGTGGGATGAGGTAGTGAATGAAATCAGTAAGGTCTCTGGCTCTATGTAGCTAATTTCTACTGGGGAGATACAGACAATAAATAAATAAACATTATAGTTATAGAGTATAGTAAGTGATATGAGGGAAATGATAGAAAGCAACATGAATGGAGACCATCTTAAACAGGGTGGCCAAAGAAGGCTTCTCTGAGCAGATGACACATAAGCTGGGACCTGAGGATGAACAGGAGGCAGCCCTGGGAAAGATATTTCAGGCAAAGGGAGTAGTAGTTGTAAAGGCCGAGTCAAGAGAAAGTCTGGTGTTCCTAGAAGAGAAAAAGTCTAGTGTGCCTACAGAGTCATGAGTGAGGAGTAAAATGGCAGATATTAAAGTAGGAAAAGTAGGCAGGAGTCAGATCACTAGGTTTGTTAAAAGGATTAAATATCTACAAAGCGTTTATTTGAGAGCCCGGGGCATAGTGTTAGCAGGTATGGTTATTTTCATGAATTTTTTTTTTTTTTTTTTTTGACGCAGAGTCTCGCTCTGTTGCCAGACTGGAGTGCAGTGGTGTGATCTCAGCTCACTGCAAGCTCCGCCTCCCAGGTTCAAGCGATTCTCCTGCCTCAGCCTCCTGAGTTGCTGGGGTTACAGGCACACACCACCACGCCTGGCTAATTTTTGCATTTTTAGTAGACATGGGTTTCACCGTGTTGGTCAGGCTGGTCTTGAACTCCTGACCTTGTGATCCGCCCACCTCAGCCTCCCAAAGTGCTGGGATTACAGGCGTGAGCCACTACGCCTGGCCTATCATGATTTTTAATGAACTTTGTCATAACCAAGTATTTGTCATTTTCTGGTGAGAACACTGAAAGTTTAGGGCATGTAGTGCCAGCTTTTGGCAATATTTCTTCCTAGGTGGTGGCATGTTCTTCCATCAGGAGGCATGTAATGTTTGGTGATCTCTCGTGATGGTAGCAGCTGTTGCTGTTTCATGCCTTATCCATTCATTCATTAAGGGTTGCAAAATGGAGATATCCTCATGCTGTCATTTTTTCATCTGTTGGGTGAAATACATAAAAACTTCATCTCTTCTTGCTTCTGCTAATGGTGACCATTCTTTTTCAGTATCATAATAAGCTTGTTAAACAAATTTGATGTGTTTTATAGTGCCCGCTAAAGTGGAAGACGTCATTAAGAACAACTATGACATCTTCCCATAAAACATCCTTTGGTACCATACTGCATGGATTATTGATTTGAGGCTGTAGAGCCCTATTCATGTTCTCGTTTTCTTTTGCATTACTGGCTGATAGTGATATGATATGCAAAAGCATTTGCCTCGGTGTTAAAATGTAAACATGGCAGATACTGTTTCCTCTTTTCACAGATGGAACTTTCTGCTCTACAGTCCATGATGGCTGTGCAAGAAGAAGAGCTGCAGGTGCAGGCTGCTGATATGGAGTCTCTGACCAGGAACATACAGATTAAAGAAGATCTCATAAAGGTCTTTCAAAACTTTTCAAAGACCATTGGAAATGTTCACAGCTCAGAATAGCTGTAGGGCATCTTCAGACAGTATTTGCACACACTGAATCCCTTGGCCAGTGATTATTAATATCCCACTTGAAAGTATAGGCAGACTATTTCAAGAATGTTTGTTCCCCTGCTCCTCTGCTGAATAACCCTTTTATTACTATTTTCACATCCACACTTATTTTTTGACTTGTAGGACCTGCAAATGCAACTGGTTGATCCTGAAGACATACCAGCTATGGAACGCCTGACCCAGGAAGTCTTACTTCTTCGGGAAAAAGTTGCTTCAGTAGAATCCCAGGGTCAAGAAATTTCAGGAAACCGAAGACAACAGGTAAGTTATTGGAATGTAAACTTATTTATTTATTTACTTTTTTTTTTTTTCCGGTAGAGACAGAGTTTCACCATGTTGGTCAGGCTGGTCTTAAACTCCTCACCGCAAGTGGTCCTTCCTCCTCGGCTCCTCAAAGTGCTGGAATTACTTACAGGCATGAGTCACCACATTGAGACAGGGTCTCACTGTGTCACCCAGGCTCGAGTGCAGTGGTACAATCACTGCTCACTGCAGCCTCAAACTCTGGGCCTCAAGGAATCTTCCTGCCTCTGCCTCCTGAGTAGCTGGAGCTGCAGGTGTACACCACCATGCCCAGCTCAAGCCTTATTTTTCTACTGTGAAATAAAACATGGTAAAGCTGTCAATCTCAGCTATTTGTGGAGGGTTAGTTGATGGTATTTCATAGAGAACTGTGCTCTAAAGTTTCCTACTTTGGTCGGTAGCAGCTATAGATGCCCCTTTCTGACATTTGTAGTTCTGAAAAGAGCAACAGTTCTTTTGGACACATACCAATAGTTATCCCTCACACTCATACATAAGTCACCTCTCTCTCAGCTGAATCTTTCTTTTTATCTGCGTTTAACCATGTTCAAGTCTCTCCCAGTTAAAAAAAAAAAAAAAAAGAGAGAGAGAGAGAGAGAAACCCCTGTCTTTTCCCCAGATTTCTTTGTAGCTACAGCCTCGTTTAACCATTCTTCAATGCCAAACTTTTCCAAAAGACTTACTTGCCTGTACTCCCTGTCTCCATTATCATCCCTCTCACTAACTACTCACCCCACTCCATTCTGGCTTTTAACTCTACCTTAAACAACTCTGTTGATTATACATTATCATAGCTCATTATCTTTATAGCACTTATTACATGCACAGTGACACACATCTATGATTAATGAACGTCTTTTTCCTCCACTAGATAGTAAGCTTTCCCCTAGAACCTAGAACAGAGTCTGTCCCATAGAAGGTGCTCAGTAAATATTTATTGAACGAATGAAGAATATTAGTGAGTCCTATTATATGCATATCCTTCTTGCCTGTCCTGTTTCCCTCTTACTCCTTTCTCTTAGCTGCTTTCCTGTGCTTCTAGCTTTTCTCTCCTTTTTCTTCTTTTTGCTCCCATGTTTGAATTCCACCTTACAGGGTTTTAAAGATAAAAAAAAAAAAGGTAATATGACATTGATTTGAAAACTATAAAATGGTATCAAAAGCTTAAGTATTAAGATAGTGGGCTTTTTAAGTCCTAGTACATGTTAATGCATTTTCTTGTTTCTCAGGATTAACTGTGGCTTCATGTCTCACTGTGCCATTTGCGTGTTGCT